TTCTCTCTCTCTCTCATGCCGAAAAACACACACATTCTCTCTCTCTCTCTCTCTCTCTCTCTCTCTCTCTCTCTCTATTTTATTTTACTCGCGTTTTCTCAATGTTTAATATTGTACGTACGATTTATATGATAGAGATTAAATATACGAGTTTGCTCACCATTATGAGGGCGATAAAAGTGGATAATCCAAATTCATTAATTATATTTAGAAAAAATGAAATTTAAAAATTTTTTATTACAATTGCTTTTATATATATTATATTTATTAAACTATTTTTTATTTAACAAATAGATGTCTTTCAATATATATAATGAATAATCCAGCAGACTTAACTTAACAATTAAACTTTTAAAATTGACTTTTAGCGTATTCTTAATTGAATTTTATTATATTTACAATCTAAAATTAAAGATTTTTTAATTAAACGAATAAGCTGCTGTATTGATAAGCTATTTCAATTGTAAATGTCACGCTTTAAAATAATATACTTTTTCAAAACATCTGAGAAATTCATTTCGTTTTACATACAACAAACATTTTCAATCTTTATCATTAAAAGCAGGTATTTTTAAGTGGTTAATTAAATTTTTCATGTACTGATTTTATATTTTAAATTCAAAATATATTTATTAGTTTTAATTATGAGAATATGATGAATCCTAATGTGTCTCATGTACCTATTGAAAATGACAAAGTTAATTAAATGTAGGCACTGTCCTAAAAGCTAAAATATTAACAGAATAATGATTAACAAAATAATGATTATGAATCGAATAAATGAAATTATTATGCCTTATTGAAATCATGCTCGAATGATTTTTTATCAAATGGGTTTGTATCATAATACATTGTAATGCCATGAAATGAAGATGTGCAATGATATTGAAAATTGTATCCCGAAATCTTTAGTTACGTCGAAGTTATAATTAAAACTACATTCTAATTACATTCAACATGTAAAAATAAAATACATATAAATTAGAGAAAAAAATTCTTTTGGGATCGTTTATAAAAAAAATTACGATAACATTAAATGTACGTAATATACGATATGAGCAATGTTAATTTACATTAGATGAAATGACTGATGTTCGAATCGTAAATCCAATAAGGAAACTAAAAAATGTAATAAAAGAGAAAGATTTTTTAAACAGTACACATAGTGGATCGTAGGACCACTTACGCTATTCGGTTAATAGTTAGATTCACTGCAGATAACGTCACAAGATGGCTACAGGGACAAAAGATAATTTGGACCATGTAAATGTCATAATTTTTCTTTTTTCCTTAATTTTTAACAAACAGTTCAATGTTGTATTAATTATTGTTTTAATTAATTAATTATAATAAATAGATTATAAGGAAATACAATTATTATAAGGATACAATTTCAGTACGTAAAATTAAGACACAGATGTACATTAGTATTGGCACTCCAATTTTTGTTACGAATAACACATTTTAATAAAAACTGTGCAATAGAAGTATCGATTAGATTGAGGAGCATATTTACGTTGAATTTGAAATAAATTTTTTACCCATATATTTAATCAATTACACTTTTTAAAATTCTAATAATAATTTTAATACGTAATAACAATATGACACTAACCTGATCACATTTTCATTTGGAGTTCTGTATCTATTCTGCACAGATGTTTTATTCCCATCGGCTATTAATTAAAACATAAAGGAAATTACTTTTAATATCGAGCAGAGAAAATTAAGCTTCAAAATATTTAAAATTCAAGATGTAAATCGTATTAATGTATTAAGAGTTATAACAATAATAAAATATTAAATGCTATTACAACTCATTTGTAATAATTAATTTCAAATTAACATTCGTTATTTTTGTAGTTACATATTAATGTTATTACAAAATCATATCAAAGTATTTTGAATTATAAAGTAAATAACTATCTTTAATATATTTAAAAATTTTACCTCGTCCATGTCTATGCGCTCTTCCAGCCTCCTGAAAAGCGAAATGAGCACGAAAGAAGGCTCGAAGTATGGCCCATCGAAAAACAGCAACTGGATCAGCACCAACTAATTCTCGAACAAAAGCAAGAGAAGAATTCTTTAGTACTCCAACAACACCATCGGGTCTCATGAGATCCAGATTCTTTTCCCTCATATTCGATGCCTGATATTTCACCGCTCCAGCATAATGTCGAACAACAAATGTTCCTTCCCTTCGTTGTGGAGCTTCGTAAAATGGATTATCTTTGTGAACTGAATTGAACTTTTGAAGTAACGTTTCGTTAGTTGCACCAGGAAAACTGTTAGGAAGACATTTAAATAAGTATTAATATTTGAATAGTCACTATACTGTAATGAATAAATACATTATATAAATTCTATTGATAAAGTGAAAAATCTACTAAAACTAATGATTTACTATACTGACGTTGTTTACAAAATCGTTAAATATAATTAAATATATTGATGATCTTTATATATTAAAAATATTAAAAATATTTAACCATTAAAGCAAATATTGTTGAAATTACACATACTTGCACTGATCGTCTAAAAGACAAAGCAAACCATTGGGCTTGCCCTCTATAAGATTTAAACAACCAGAATTATCACTGTAACCGATATCTGTCCATCTAATTCCTTGTTTTCTATATTCTCGTTGTTCATATTGAAAGACATGTTGATTAAAATAATGTTGTAATTGTTCATTAGCATAATTTATACAAAGTTGTTCAAAGCTATTGCAAGTTTTAAAATCTTCAAATCCAAAAATATCTAGTACCCCAATGCTATTTCCTTGGTGATCTCTCAGAGTATCTTTTTTAGATAAAAGTGCATGGTTAACCTATAAAATATTAACAAAACTTAATTATTATTGTAAAGAAATATGACAGAACTAAATCATTTATTTATACATATATAATACTGAAAATTTCGTTTCCAATGAATTTGTTAATATTATCAAAACACTTACTTGCAAGACTATCCAATCAAAGAGAGCACCGTATAGACACTTGGCCATGGCATCTCTAGCTGCAATTGCTTCGGGAAGTCTATAGTTTATAACTAATGTCTCTCCTGAAGCTCTTGCTCGTTTTGCTGTAAGAGCTGCTTGGAGAGTTTCCTGTTTCACTCGCAGTAGCTCTGATATTAATGCCACGACTTCAGGATTTCTGACACCTACCGCCTCATCGTGATGATGATAAGATTTCCTAGGTTGGAATTCAACATTTCCTACAAGGAAAATGAAATTAAATCACATGATAATCGATTATTAATATAACTCTTTTTTACATTTGATCGATATTGTCTTAATCAAAGTCGATTATTAATTCGCATAAAAAACAAAATCCGATAAGATTATCAAAAGCAAAGATTTATTACTTAACTCACAATATAAAAAACTTCTTTCATCTATTAATTAAAAAAATATAGATGTCTATCAAAAGATCAATATTTCTACATTTATAATTATTAAAAAATGTGAATACATTATATAATAATCAACTTTTTAATGAATAAAATATTTCTATTGTTTAAAACATTGAAATTACTAAGTTTGTTTTATATTAAAATAATATTAATGTATACAATATTGGTATATATGGTACGTAAAGACAAATATCATACCAAGAAGTAATACAGCTGACAAAACCGCAAAAAGTCGTCTTTGTTTTTCTGGAGTAAAACCAACCATTTCCATCGATTGCTTTAATCTTGAAAATTCGTGTCTCTCGTCAATGTTCTCCAGTCCATAGCAACCACTTTTATTTAAGTAATTATACCATTCATAATTCCTAAGATGTAAAACTTGCTTCTCCTGTTCATTCGCTCCAGCTAGCAAATAGTAAAATACGTGATAATTTCGTTCATTCCTTCCTTGAGAGACTATCCTTGATTTTTCGAGAAGGTACTTTTGTACCACAGCTCTATAATGATATTACAATATTATACAATGTACAAAATATTATAATAAAATTATTATATAGGATATATTATAGAACTCAACAATACTTGATAAGTTTTCTTAAATAAGTTATCTTAAAAAAAAAATAATCTTTTCTTTTTAATGTAATTCTTTAAAAATAAATAATACACGTAAATAGAAAATTTACCTACTTAATATTATTTTCTTATAAGTAAATTTTATTCCAATTTCAAAATAAATGTATTCCAAAAAAAGAATGAAATATAAAATTTAAATTTATCTTTTTCAATTAGCAAATACAATTAGAAAGTGTATAAAGGCGTATAAATAAATAGTGTATAAAGGGTGAAAAACAATATGTAAGTGTTATATATAAAATTTTATACAAATTTCGTTTGTAACAGTTAATAACTTGAATAAATCATATTTTGTACAAAATTAATATTAACATTGAATAAAAATTCTATATTCTATTTAAAGAATCTGCATATAGTGAAGTAAAAAATGGAAACACTAAAATATATAAAAACACTTCGTTCATAATGTAAATATTTTTAATATTATGTTGCAAAGAAATGAAAATAACATACAAGAACAAAAATGTACAATAAATTGTCAATTATTCAATTTCGTTTTTAAGTATATTTTAGAATGACATTCTGTCCACTTACCCATGTACCATTCCATTTTCCTTATAGTTCACTTGTATGAATTTTCCAAACCGACTGCTATTATTATTATGAGCAGTTTTTGCATTGCCAAAAGCTTCAAGAACAGGACCAGCACTCAAAATAGTTTGTTCTACGCCACTACCGTGAGAACCTTTTTGACTCAAAGCTGTTAGGTGGTGTAACAAAAAATTAGTTGATTCAGTCTTGCCCGATCCACTTTCTCCACTTATCACTATACACTGATTCTTTTTTTCCTTCAACATGCAATGATATGCAGCATCAGCAATTGCAAATATATGCGGTGGTATGTCTGGTCCAAGTCTACGATTCTGATACAACTTGACATACTTCGGATTGTAGATAGGATAAAACTTGAAAGGATTCAAAGCGATGAGTATGCTACCAACGTATGTGTATATGTTCCCAGCAAGAAATCGAGCTCGAAGATTGTCAAGGAGGGTTTGCTCATTGAGATCAGGAAGCTGGCAGAGATCAGGATATTCCTTATCCCGCGGTTGGTAAAGAAACCGATTAAAATAATCCTTAAGAAGCTGTGGATCCATTGGAAACCTGCTGTCCGACCATAAGTAATCAGGTTGTTTTTTTCTAAGATAAAATCTAGAAAAAAATATATAAATTTAGTATATCGAAGTGAAATGTCAAAACAATAAATTTTTATGAAAATTGGTAATAATATATATTTATTTTTCAAATCTGAATTAAGTTTCAGGACTAAATAAATATTGTAATAGACATCTATTTAATTTATTCATTAATATTTATCAATATATTTATTAGTTCAGAAATTTTTTTATTAAAATAATTTTTGAAAATATAGAATAATAATTCAGATATTTTTAAATTTATATTTAAAGTCTGTAAAACTTTTATATGAGTATACACTGGCATATTATAACAATAACATTTACTTTTATTAATCCAATTTTTCTTCAATTTAGCTTTTTATATTCTACTGTAAGTATTAATTGAACTTATTATCCATTAAAATTATTAAACATATTAAACATCTTTAATTAGATTTTTAGTTTTAAGTGCATATAATTGTAAAGCTATATGATAAGCTATTAATTATATTAATTTAAATAATTTAAATTTTCATCAACTGCATTTTATAACATTTTAAAAATAATATAAATACTTGTAATATTCCTGTTGAGATGCATTTTTCTTTGGCCAAAGCAGCATCAATGCAACAGGGCACTCTGTAGGTCCAAGTCTTCGCTCTTTACACTCTTGCCCAACAGAATTACCAATAACCTCCGCCAATTCGTATCCATTGGAAAGATTACCATCAGCGAGACTAAGTCTTTCAATGATACATTCCACTATTTCAGCAGAAGATGTTTGCTTGGTGGCCCTAATGGAAAGTGCTTCGTATTCAGCACTCCATTCTCCCACAAATACTTGCACCACACCAATACTATTATTATCCATATCTATTAACCCTGAAATATTTTTATAAATTTTTCAATAAAATTCAAATTATTATAAATTCTTCATTAGCTTTATATTTCATAATAACAGTTTATAAAATAGCAAATATTTTATTGAAATAATAAACACAAAAATTATTTACATATTTAATTTTAATATTTAAGAAATTTATTTTCCCAATGTTATATTAAATGAAATTATTGATTCTAATTTTAAAAAAACTTATGATTGCATTTATCAATAAATTAATAAAAATGTGCTCAAGTTACCTGATTACTTTAGGGTTATCAGATTTGTCCTCTATCATTCATAGAATATTGAAAAAACTGTAGTGTTTTTTCCTCCTGACATTTTAAAAGTATTTTATTAAAAAAATATTCTGAATTTTTCATATCCATTTTGTTTTACAGTTATTCATTTATAATTTATACATTTAAAATCACATATGTTTGAGTTCTTCTTCTTAATTATTTATCAATTTTAATACATTTTCACAAATTTTCATCGTATGAGTAATTCATGGGATTTTTATTTTAAGTAGAACCAATTAAATCATTCATTTTCATTTAAACTATTTAATTTTGGATTCTATTAGGTATATATTTTGCTATATCACTACATACATTATAATTGAAATACTAATCATTCAATTTACTTCCACATTATTTTAGTAAGGAAGATATAATTCAATTCTTTATTATGACAAAATTCAAGCATTAAAATAGTTTCTTTCCAATTTAAAGTGGATAGAGTATTTTGATAAGTTAAACAATATAATTATATATTAAATATAATTTAACAGCACCAGTTCCATTAACTTTTTAACTATTATCGCAGCATTGAATGTCAGTTGGAAACCGTGCATTGGTGTGCTATTGTGCAGCCAAGCAGTAACTTTATTTGTTCACTGGACACAAAATCTATAATTTCCTACATATACTTAGTTTTTTTAAATATCTTGAGTATTTTAACATATTTATTGCAGAAATTTGTTGATATTACGATACTGTCTTGCAGATTTTAACTGAAAAATAATAATTGGATTATAATTAAAATTAACATTTTAAACATTTGTGCAATACAAGGTATTGAAATTCCATAATCAGAACATATAAAATAATGAAATTTAGTTGAAAAATTATAAATAATTTATTATTCCTATACCAATTGTTCATAAATAATTTTATCTATTAAAATATTCTCTGAAACAAAAATAAAAAGTATCTTCCTCAAATTTTTGGAATAAATCCAGAATTTATTTTTGACAAAGCGTAGATTTTATATAGTGAACAGTCTATAAAAGTAATGAAATATCTCAACGAGATATTTAAAATGTTAAATATGAATACATATTAATAAATATAAGCACATGTGTAATATAAACCAAATTATTCATTCTCATCTAAAAACCTCTACTAATAATTTAATAAAGAAGTATCTTTATTTATTATGAATTACTTGTCTACATTTATTTATTATATATATATATATATATATATATATATATATATATATATATTGCAATAAAATTGCAAAAATAATTTAAATGGAAGTCAAATTGTACTTTATATAGATTTTGATATTTTCAAACTGAAATATGCAATATAATCGGAAAAAATCCATAAAAATCATTACTTTTTACTATTTAAATAAAAATAAACTTTTACACTAAAAAAAATCTTTTGAAATTTTTATAGTAAAACTTTGCTTTATGTAGTATTGTTAAAATAATTTTTGGCTCATTTACTTATGATATGAATGGCAAAATTTGTATTAGTAAATTAATAAGTATAAACTTTTATAATTTATAACTATCGAATGGCTACATAAAAATTTAAACAGAAAATTGTAATTTTTTTCCCAATATGCTCAGCATCAGTTTTTTTTTAATCAATGTTCTCTTTTCCTAACTCAAATTGTATTTCTAGATAGGATACAGATTTTTATATAATAAAAATATATAATTATAAAATGATCTGTGATAGTTAATAGATTTATATTTATTATTTATTCAATGTCTTGACATTATAATAAGAAATTTTCTTTTATTGCTTTGGGAAATTGTTTGACTGTTGTACAATCTGTAATCCATTATAATAATAATGTTAAAAAACTTTTAATTTGTGTAAAATAAAATTTGCCAAACACTTTTATTTATAATTTTTAAAATTATAATTTTGTATACCATTATCAAACAATTCTATAAAATATATATGATCACTATTATTGAATTTACTTATTTAAAACATATCAATTCATTAATGAAGATAAATAAAACAAATATATATATATATATATATATATATATATATATATATATCCATATATGTATATATATGCATATGTACATATATAAATGATAAGTACACATTCTAATAAGTATGAAATCATATTATTTCGAAGAATCCTATGATATATTAGAATATTAAAAAACTATTGAAAAAATTTAAGAACTAGAACATCGATGAACTAATTAAACATTACAATTTTGCATGCATAAAGTATAGTTCGTATTTCAAAGCAAATTATTTTAATACAATAATGTATTCTATGGAAACATTAATAAGGATCGAATAATATGTGGAAGTTATGTCGCTATATCTACATAGGATAAGTATTATTGTACTCGTATAACTACAAACCCATTTATTTTTAATAGAATAATTAGAAACTTAAACAAAATTGAACACGAACCTCACATTCAAGTATAACATTTTATTCGAATCCTTCACTTGAAAATACTATGTGACTCCAATAATGCTTTGAAAATATAATCATTGGTACACTCAAAACTTCTTTCATCCAATTTCGAATTACTTCTTCTAAAATTTCCTGCACACACCAAAAAATCCAAAACCAAAACGGAAAAAGTCCAATGTGCCATTAAAAATTGTCACATCAAGAGACAACACTGTCTTCCCTCTCTTTCTCCTTTTTCTTATACACAGTACCAGAATCCCAAATAATAAAAAAGGAAAAGCGAGAAAGCTTAAATACAGATTCCGGAACAGCGGTGCATTAACGATCCTACTATTTTCATTACCTCGAAGAAGTCTTGATTAGGAAGCCGTGGAGGTCGCGACGCTCCGCACATCTTGCGCTCGTTTTCTTCTTCCTTGCAAAGTCACTTATATGTATCTGCGTATGTCTCCTCTCTCTCCTCTCGGCCGTTGCTCGGCTGAGAGAAAAAGAAAGATCGACGACGACGACGGCAATGACGACGAGGACAAACGACAATCCGCCTGTGCCGCCTGTATGCCTGCCTGGCTGCCGTCCACGTCCTCTTCCTCCCCGTCTGTCTTGTGTCTGTGCCTCACACAGCAGCAGTGGAGCAGCAGCACCTTCCCCACGGCGCGCGCGCGCGTCCACCGTGTGTGTATATACACTTATGCATATATATATGCGTATACGCATGTGTTCGCTCGTGTGCGTGCAATTATATATATAGATATATTGCACTATGTTTTATCTATGTGCTATCTATACATCTATCAATCTATCCATCTATCTACCTAACCATCCACTACCTAACCATTTATCTACCTAACCATCTATCTACCTAACCATCTATCTATCTATCCATCTACCTATCTTTCCATCTATATATCTATCTACCTATCTATCTACCTATCTATCTATCTACCTATCTAACTATCTATCTATCTATCTACCTATCTAACTATCTATCTATCTATCTATCTGTATATGCATATGCATATGTATATATATATGTATATGTTTATTTATTTATATAAATTTATATGGATATGTCTATGTGCATGTGTAAATATATATATATATATGAATATATATTTAATGTGTGTGTGTGTGTGTGTGTGTGTGTGTGTGTGTGTGTGTGTGTGTGTGTGTACGGGCGCGTATACCCGTGAGCGTGTACACGCGCACGTTGTGCGTATATATATATTTATTTATTTATGCGCGTATGTATTTACGCATGTGGGTATGCGTTCATGTAGGTATGCATGCATGCATGAATGCACGTGAGTATGTGAGCATGCATGCATGCATGCATGTATGTATCGTTGACCCGAAGAAAGAGAAACAAGTTCGTATATTAGGAGCGACTTTTCTGTTTCTGTCTCTTTCTCTCCTCCTCTCTTCGCCGCGCGCCGATGACCTAGTGCATCCTCCCCTAGGCTGATCCTTTTCGCTCGTTTGCACTCTCTCTCTCTCTCTCTCTCTTTCTCTCCGTCTTCTACCCGCTCTATAAACCCCCCTTATTTCACTCAATATATATCTATCCCACCCATCGCCCTCTCTTTCCCATTCGGTCACTCGTTTCTCTCTCTCTCTCTCTTACTTCCTCAGCCTCTTCCTCTCCCTCACGTATTCAGTTAGCAGTCTCCCTCTCTGTCGATTCTGGAGACTTCAAACGGAAAGGAGAAAAGAATGTATAATAATGCGCGCGCGCACGCAGGTGGAAACTTGCTCTCTCTGAACGTGTGTACGCGCGTACATGCGTGTGCCGTGCATGGTACGTGGGTGCCAATGATACCTTTCCTCTCGCTCTGTCTCTTGGAAAAAGAGATGAGCTGCACCCCTAATTTACAGGTCTACCATCAACTCGATCATCGGCATATATGTAGCACACTCTCGTGTTCATTTATATTCCGAGTGCACCTGCACACATACGTACGACCGTATCTATGCGAGCGCACGGTTACACATATTTTATTTATTTCTGCTCTGCGTGAAATCGATCTTGACAAGTGCACCACGTGCGCAGCTCTCATTACCCGGATATGGTTTCTTTAACATTGTGCACACTAGACTTCTATTGGCCGATGTCCACGTCTTTGAAAAACCGAGAATGTTATTATTTATTTGCCGAGCTCGTTGTCCGATTTTAAATATCGGCACCCTCGCCTCTTCGAGCTTCAGCTGCGAACGTGAGAATCCTCTCGCACGCGCGCTGTCGCTGTTTTCCACCGGTTGCAGCGCAACCGTGGACGAAAGTCGGGCTTTACCTTTATATACGTGTACGCACGCACACGCGTGACACTTTCTCGGCGTGTACGAGAAGGTGCGCTGGATTAGCCGTTTTAACCATGAAATTGAGGATTTTCTACAATAAGTTCATTTCTGTTCTCTAGGCTCCAAGGTACTTCTACAATATTTTCTCATTCGTCGTCTCTATTCCCCTTTCCGGATAATAACTCGATTGCAATCTATTTGATCCCTGTTGATTATTTGAACGATGAAAGGTGCATTATGTTTAACAACTCGAAATAACTCCCACAGCAGCCGTTAATCATGTATTGAACAATTTTCATTTCTCGCTTCGTACTTCCTCTCGTGGATCCGAGATTTCTTCAATTTTTCCTTATC